TCAGACAGGAAATAATGAGCAGGTTTCTATATTTTAATATCTTCCTCCTTGTTGGAGGGGCTATATTTACACACTCAGCTTAGGAGACTCTCACCCCATGAATTCATTGGCTGCTATGTTAAGAGCTCTATTGTGGGAAACAGTTTGAAAGGGAGTGATTTTTCTGTGAAAGTTTCAAGATGTGTTCAATGATTTAAAGTATTTCCAATAAGATATGTTGTTGAAAACAGACGGTGCAGAATGGGGGAGGGGACATCAACCAAAAACGTCAAATGGGGCTTTGTGTACATTCATTTAGAACCTTTTACTGAAGTTCAACGTCTAGATTATTTTGTTTATTTTATTCTTCATTAAAGTGCACCTCTGTCTCAAGCTAGAAGTCAAGTGCCAAAATCCTATGCATGTCTCTTCTCAAAGTATTTCCAGAAAGATGGGAAACAGGAAGTACTGAAAATCCTGTGAGAAACTCTCTTTTTGGATTTCTAGCTCAATTTGTATAGATTTAGTGCACGCTTCATATATTGTTGTTCTGTAGAACACTAATCCTAAAAGATGCATCTTAATAAAATCTTTATTTAATGTAGGCTCCTCAAAATCTTGACAATGGAATTCTTGTTTTGCTTAATGAAGATATATTGAATGCACTCCAGAAAATGATCCATTAGAGTTTGGAGCAAGTACCCAGTTTTGTGTTATGCATTTAAACCTAAGCTTATATTGTTATTGAACGCAGTCATCAGCCAAAGTGACTACTTTGTCTACCTAATTTTAGGACCATGGAGCTGTGATGTCTTAAATATCAACTCTATATCTAGAGGTCTGTGTGCCTAGCTGACGTAGCATCTCCCAACTCACCATTAGGAGAAATGATAGTCAACAAAAACTTTCAGGGTCAAAATGAAACATGATCAGTACTTTGAATAAAAAAAATAAATTTAATGTTAGAGGTGTTAAAATAGAGCAGTACTGATGAAAATCTAAGTTCAGATTATTGAAACTATTTTAACAAAGAAATTTTTATTTTATACATGGGAAAGATGGGAGAGGTTCAAATATTGTGAAAGACAAATTCCCAAAATAACTAGATGGAGAGAAGCAAATGTGAAGGCAATGTCAAGGTGATGCCTTGATTTCTGTTAGAACATAATTACATTGAACATATTACATTATTTTATTTGAAAGAGATGAGATGGTGGCATATGCCTGCAATCTCCGAGACTTCAGGAGTCTGAGACAGGAGGGATAACAAATTCAAAGCCAGCCTGGGTGACTTAGCAAGATCTTGTTTCAAAATTTAAAAAATAAAGAAAAAGGGGTGGGAATGTAGGGCCCCTCTAGGTTTGATCCCCAATATGAGAGAGAGAGAGAGAGAGAGAGAGAGAGAGAGAGAGAGAGAGAGAGACTGTAGTTAGTTTTTAGTGCTTACTTTCAAAGCAGTGGGATATGTCACGGACAGATTTCTAGTCTGACAAGTTAGAAGACGTGTGTTTTACCCTGATTCTGACACTTAATACCTACATGATTTAGGGATATTTAGATTATTACCTATATACTAGGGCTTGTAAGATTTACTTAGTCTGTATCACTCTATTGCTTTAAGAATCAAAGTACATAAGGTTTTTTTAAATACTACACAACTATAATGGTATATTACAAACATGTGATGATAACTAGAGATAGTTAAAATTTTCTGGCAAGCAAATTTTGGATTCAAACCGTTTTGGAAGTGGTGAGGAGGAAGGGCTGACTTCCAAAGTAGATAATAACCAATGGATGAGAAGAATCAAAGAGGAGAGAAGAGTGTCTTGGAAGCCAGGCATGAAAAGAAGATGAAATAGTGGGATGAAAGTCCTCAAAGGAAATGGAAGGGTCAAGAAGCCAGGAGTCTCCCTGAAGAAGTCTAGGAAATTATTATTAACATAAAAGATTAATGAATAAAGTCAGAGACCGTTAAGGGTCGTTAAAAAGTTTCAAATGAAGAAAGGACATGGGAAAATTACTAGAAGAGAAAATTACCTGGTAGGACCTGCCATTTGGGAAACAATGTGCCAGTCTGTGATTATTTTAAAAAATACATGTGACATGTGTCCAATGTGCTTGTGGTTGTCATCATATAACCTGGGTTTCCATATCCTGTGAGATATCCATGCTACAGAGCAGCTTCTTGTTTCTGTGACAATCCCTTCTTCACCTTACATGAATATCTCTTCTAAGGTATCAGGCTTTGTGGATGTCCTTTGATACCTGATAATCATGGTACATTGAAGTTTCTTTAGTAAATTATGAAAATTAGTGTACTTTCCATTGTGCTAATGCAAGTCTTTTCTTCCACAAGTCAGTTTCCAGAACTGCTTCCTTTGATAACAGGACTTCTTTGATCAGCTTTTAATTTTCAGGTCTTTCCAAATTAAAGTTAAAAAATAAAACAAAAAATGAAAAACAATTTTGATTTTATACATGGGAAAGATGGGAAGGTTCAAATATTGTGAAAGACAAGTTCCCAAAATAACTAGATGGAGAGATTATCTTCGGGGAGTTTAAAAAATAAAACAAAACAAGCAAAAAAAACCTACCTCCTTTATTGGCATCTCAGATAGCAGCTGTCTCTAAGTACATGCCTTCTTACAGAAGGCATACATCAAAAATAGGTATTAATGCAAAAATATAAGAAAATATTTTATGTCTGAACAAGAAGCTTCTTATAGTTTGTGTTTTTTTTTTTAATTTGAGGTTTCCTCACCAAAAATACTTAGACCAGGAATAGCATCATTTTATATTTTATATAACTATTGACACAGCAACTAAGAAACATAAGATGTATATAAAAGAGGATATATTGCCTACTGATTAGGAAAACTGGAAGCCAGGGATCATCATATTTCAGATAACAATGTTAATTCAGAACTTTTATCCAGTTTTATAAGACTTTATAAGACTTTCAAATTTTGAGCTATACATGATCATCATTTTAATGAGTGCCCAGGTTTTCTGATAGGATACTTTAACTCCTGTGAATTTAAAAGACAATTTTTTAAAATAAGATAGTGACACTAGATATGATAATTTTGCATCTGATTATTACTCCAGTAATAGAAACAAAGGTAATTAAAAAACAAACTGAGAATGAGCTGAGGCATCAGTTGTGGTTAATTCTCAGAGGGGAAAGCCCACATTCAACAGACAACAGAGAAAACCTCCTTTGCCATCCACAAGCTCACTCAACACTTTAACAGTAGGTCGGGTGACATTGTTAACCAATAGAGATAATAGAGAAGTTGTTTTTTTCTTTCCTTTCTTTTTACTACAAATATCTCTAACAGCACTGAGTTACTGGCACAGAAGGAACTACTAAAGGATGAGTCATAACTACCCCTTAGAGATCCTGTTTTTCATCTTACTCTGATTTCCTTGCTGAAGTTTTTCATTTCCAAAAAAAGGTTTTCTAAAATAAAAGTGACCATCACATTTTCCTCAATCAACTACAGCCAAGATCTGTCCAATTTGGGTTTGCTGTAAGGTCAGCAAAGGGCAGGGCTCCTTTCTCTGCTGGTGTCCAGTAGAATGAAGGCAACTCAGAAGAGAAGCTTGCCTTTTCTGATCTTGCATAAAACACCAAGAGCAACCCCTGATAGGTCTCCATGTGAATGCTGCAAGTGTGAACTAGACACATTATTTGGAAAGTGGTGTAAGGTAGGATCTTAGGCTCAGCTTCACAAGCAACTTTTTTGGCACGTTCTTCTCTAAAGAGTTTTTTCTTTTTCTTTTCTTTTTAGCAAAGATCTTAATATCCAAGAGCACATCTTGCCATGATTTCTCCATGTATATAAAAGATAACCAGATATTACAGCTTGCCCCCTAGTACAGAGTTGGAAAGTTTGACTCTTCAAACACAGTCCATTGTACCATTTAAGTATTAAACTTAAAATACTCCCTAGTGTCTTCTTTATGAAACTTAAGGAAATGACTATTGCTCAGAGTATTAAGTGCCCATTTTGGTATGCTGCATTTGAATAACACCTTGTAAACCAAGGACTGGTTGAACCCTCTGCAAACAGAACTGAGAAAATCAAATAATCCTTTCTCCCGAGGAATAAAGTATATTGAATACTCTATAAAAAGTAAATGCTTAAATGCTTTTTATCTCAAGTCAGTTTCTAGGATCCAAGAGGGCTTCTACATTCTCTGTCACTTTCATGTGCAATATACTAGGAGAGGATCATTAAAAGAGCTCTGAGAGGAGGAAGGTTCTCAGTTAAAGATCACATCACATTGAACAAAGCATCTCAAGTCCTTTTGTAAGACGCTGAGGGGTCTAAAGAAATCTTCCTCTCCTGATTTACATAGTGATGTCATTAAGCCTCACCTGAAAACTCGGATTGGAAATAAAGGAAATTAGTAGTTAACATGATCTGGTATCAAAAATACCAAGGATTTCTGACCTCAGATAGCTAACTTTCTGGTCCTATAGACTCTACATCAAATATACTCTTTCCTCACCTGACAAAAACTACTGTGAAATTTAATCAGTTTAAATTAAATTTAATTTCAATCAATGTGAAAGTTTCAAAATCTCAAACAAATGAAAAAAAGTAAGTGAAAAAGTACATTCTATGTTTTGTTCATATTTTTTTTTCTGAACCATCTTACTTGTTTCTATTAGACCATTACCTAAATGAAAGCTATATAATAATTTATCTAGGCTATAATTGTCTGAGTCTAAATCAGCAACCCTAGTTATATGAGATCTACCCCAGGAAATTAATTAGACTTAGGAAGCAAATATTACTTTGACAATATCTGGCATTCTTAATAATTCTTTATTTGACATATCATATGTACAATTCCTATTTTAAACTCTATAGATTCTTGAGCCTCTTTTAAAAAAATAACTTTCATGGTGAAATATCTAGTTAAATTTTCTAATCTTAAATTCAGGAACTAGTTAAATTACTGTTTATTTTTGTATAGTATTTAAAAAAATAACTTTCACTTCCTTGTAGTTTATTAGAACATAAAATCTTAGAAATGGAGGGAAAACATAAGGAGGAGTTGGACACCTTAAAGGAAGAGAAAGAGAACCTTCAAGGTCTGGTTACTCGTCAGACATACATAATCCAGGAGCTGGAGAGACAGCTGAACAGAGCTACCACCAACAACAGTGTTCTGCAGAAGCAGCAGCTGGAGCTGATGGACACGGTCCACAACCTCGTCAGCCTCTGCACTAAAGAAGGTGGTAAGAATTTCTTCCTTGCTCTGGTTTTGTAAATACCTTATTTTATATGAGCAAATAGTTATTAGATAACAATCTTCTCTCTAAGGCGTTGATTGCTGGGTGAAAACAGCAAACAGCAGGTGAACTTTTTTTTTTTTTTTGAAATATATGTGAGCTTTTTTTTGACAGTTTGTTATGTTCTTAATTTCAGAGAAATATTCCTAAATTCAAATTTGTGAATCCACAATATTTTTTTCTAGAAGAGTTTTCTAACTTCTTTTGTTTTTCATCTTTTTTTATCCTTAGATAATCTATTGCACTGTCATGGATAAAAATTTGATATTATGATGTTAGACACTTAATCATGTCGGATAGAAATTAGCCAAAGCTAAAGATTACTTCAGATGGCTGGGAAGAGTTTCAGGAATGTCCCAATTTTAAAGTTAGTATCTTTGAACCACCGGGGAACTACCAGCTGATGATTTTGTCAATATAGTGGACTTTTAAAGAGGAAAGATCTTATGAAAATTCATATTGCTTACATTTTGGAGAGAGAGATGAGGAAATTAGTGGAGGAAAATGGTGAAAATGGTGCTTTCAAAGGAAAGGAAATCAGGGACTGTGCCCAAAATTAAAATGAATGAGAAAATATGATTGTTATTAAAAGTATTTTTTTTTTAAGATCACTTGTCCTTAGTTTTATACAGGGAAGATTTAACTGAGGTGGCAGGCATATTTTTTTCTAGGACATCTTTGTGATGGTAGAAATTATAAATTTTTTTATCTCACTAATATCTGGAGCCATGTAGCCATTGGAAATATCTGCAGACTTCTCTCTCTTTAGAGTACATCCATCTCTTCACCTGTCTACCCACCAATTTTGAATGAGTGCCTCTGGTGCACATCTGTCCATAGATAGCAGAACCTCTTTCCCAAGACCAGTGTGGATCTTTAAAGCATGGGGCTTGAGGTCACCTTCTGTAGTGCTGCTCTCTAGCCAGCCTTTCTCTGAGTGAAAATGGAATCATAAATGGTGATGAGTGAAAGTTCCAGTAACTTCTGCAAGTTACTAGAGTCATTGAGCTGTGGCTTATGCAACCATCCTATGCTGGCTCAATCATATGCAATGTATACATGTGGGGGTTCCTTTAATTTAATCATGAACTTGAGTGACATGAAGAATTAGCTCGACTTCAAACTTTCATGTATAGATATGAATATAGAAGATAACTCTGTATTAAGTGATCGTGTTTTAATGACATTTCACATTTCTCTGTTACACTCCATTACCTTGAGTTATATCTCCTTTAGATAGTCTAAACAAGCCTTTAATATACTTTGTAAAGTAACATTTTTTTTTTAAAACAGTGAGTCCCCAGAGCTCCATTTGGGTGTGCTCAGTAATGTGATTGGGAAGGGAAAAACCTGCTAATCAGTCAGAGCCTGCCAAAACCCTGAGTTGAAGCCCACTGGAAAGAAAGCATGGTAGGACTCTGCCAGAGAATTTTAATAGAGCTCATGAGTATTTAGAAATTAAGCATTAATATGAGACATATCTACTCTCATATTGAGATGAATACATTTGGGGAAAAATTGAAAACACATTTTTCTTATCATTCCAAGACTTAAAGCACATGGAGTTGGGTAGTGTTTTTTTTTTTTTTTTTTTTTTTTTAACAATTTTAGAGATGTCAAGCTCTGGTGATTCTCACAGAGCTCATATGTCTGCCTACTTAACATAATCTAACTTCTTTTTTTGAGTATTGTCTAATAAATATGTCTTTAAGCTTTTAGAGGCAGGGAGTGTGATGTTAAAATCAAAATTTCTGCCTAGGTTTGGAGTTTGGGTGTAACGTCAAGCAACCAAGCACTAGTTCGGCTCATTTATTGAACAATTATGATGGCAACATGATAGTGGTTACCCTTCTCATCCAATCAGGATGTGAGAAAAGTAACTGTGTGTACTCTATGATTTAGCACATACAAAAAAGAGTAATAATAATAACACAGACTGAAACTCTTTACTATTCTAGACCTCCTGCTGTAGCTTTTCCTTTTAATATGCAATCGTAAAGCAAATCCTTCTTTAGCTTCAGGGCTAGACTCTCATGTAAGAGTATTGCCTGATTTTCCAATGAGTTCTGTGCTCTCAGAGCCATAGGTTTTATTTGTTTCTTGTTAATCTTTTGTTCCCTTTAATCTCAGTTAAGTATTCTAACTAAATACTTACTTTAGGACTCACAAGAGACACAAAACTGGGAAGTTTGCTCTCAATAAGGTTTATATCAAGATGTCAATTATGTGAGGATCCTTATTTTTACTGTAGCCATAGTCTTCCCTTACTATGAATTTAAAATTTAAAATGGCTAATAGCATAAATAGCAGTTTAAATATCAGTTACTAAAGAGAACTTTGATTTTATCAAGTCTCTCTTGTATGCCCCGAATGCTATTTATTTATATATTTGTTATTTATCCAAGGATGATTATATGTAAATAATTTACTTTTAAGTTTGTTTGTATGCAAATAGTCCAAAATCAATATGCCATCACAAACACACCAAAATTTCTAAAATGTACATTTAAAAGATTTTCTAAAAATATCACAAGTTGTGTCATAGTCCAAAAGACCAAAAGCCAAATATTTTAATTGAAACTAAAAGACTTCGTGTTTAAATTTAACCCAATCATTTGCAGAGAGACCCCTGCATATAATTCATACAACACAAGAGAATAACTTTAGTGAGTTTTCTATTAATGACAATTAATTTAACCTTTATAAAGCTATCTCAGTCTTTATAAAGTCAAGATAATTATGTTTATTTCACCATGATAACTAAATGAGATGTTCAATATAAAAACAAATGGCCAAGTGTTGAAGACACAGTTGACTCATTAAACCTTAATGCCTTCTTTCTCCTCCAAGGGACAAGATTCGATTAACACTCATTAATTCTTCCTATAAGCAAAACATTTTTTGCGGACAATGTGTGAATACAATGCCCTAAAGGGTTTAGCTATTGACAGTCATCCAAGAAGCTTCTTTTACCCTCAGTTTTCTTATTTCTAAAATGTGATCCTCATATTTACTTGATGAGGTTGTGATAGACCATATATATATATCACCTTCACCTATCAATTGTATAGCTCAAAATTGCTAAAAATTAATGAATTTTAATTATCTGATCACAAAGAAATGACGGTTATGGTATGATGCATATGTTAATAAGCATGATTTGGTCATTACACAATGGGAACATGTATAAAAACATCACATTTTACTTAATAAATACATATAGTTATTATTTGTCCAAAAAAGAAAAAAATAAAACACCTGAACAAATAAAGTACTTAATTAACAAAAATACCTATTTTACAAATAATTTTAAAACATTAATAAAAATTAAGAAATAACATCTGTACCTGTTCATAGTAAATACTCAAAATATAGTTTTTTAAATTTCATTTTCATGCCTTCTAAAGTGCTTATAAAAAGTACAAGATAAAGAAATTCTGAGGAAGTAAGTTTGGGCTTAAAATGTACCTTTCCCCAAACATTTTGGTCTAGGAATATAATAAATATATATTGCACATAGAGAGTAACTTTGTGTAGTTCCACAGGACATTTTCTATTAAAATATCTGATGCCATGCAATGCACTTAAGCTAAGTACACCTGATGAACACATTTTCTGAAATAATTTATCAAACTTGACTGTGCATGTTCCAAACAGGCAACAGTGATGTCTTAGGCAAATAGTCATTTTTAACTGAATGTATCCATTTTGTGCAGCTTCCGGGTGACACATTTATTTTTGTCAAACTTTAGTCTGCAAACACTTGGTCGCATTTATTCTTAGAAACATTACCCACTGAAGAAATATGATCCTCAGTGTTATCACAGTGTCAAAGCTTAGCTGATTGCTTCATGCTTTTGGCAATTCACAGTTATTGCTGGAATTGAATAGGTTACATTGATAATGGCATGGAAACAAGGTTTGGAATTCTTTGGGGGAGTACTGTGACTGTCAGAAGAGTCACTAGTCATCTATGTTCACTGGTGATTAAAACATCATCACATACATTGAACACACACAGGCGAACATCATATTGTGTGACTGAGAATTTAATTCCCAATGAAGTATGCACAAAAAAAAGGAAGAAGAAAAAGCAAAAATTAAAAAGAAAACAGTGTTTAGGCTCCATCATAAAATGACACAGACCGAATATCTCATTGTCCTAATCAGCTTGGAGCACATTCCTGCTATACCAAAGTGTGATTCATAAATTTATCCATTCATTCAAAAAATAGTTCTACAACAACCGTTCTGTTTCAGATTCTCTTCTGGGGGATAAGGATGTTTATCCATTTTCATTTAACAAATATTTGCTAAGTGACTATAGTGTGCCAGATATCGGTCAGACCAATGGGAAGAGGGGAAAAAAAGAAAAAGAAAGGAAGAAAGAAAGAAGTATTTCAGTCTGTGACTTTAAGGAACTTGGAGTCTGATAGGAGAGAAACTGGTAAATGACCAATTATATTTCAGAATTCATTGTTGGAGGTGAGCCTGGGGGTTACTGCAGCAGCAAAGTAAACTAAAGGGTATTAAAATTACAGGAAGGACACAGAAATGACTGCAGAATCCAGATTCCATTCAGTCTTCTTGAGGATTTTATTGAATGTTTAGTATGACTCTAGTAGTACTTGAATTTTACCTGGATGAACTTAGTCCTCACTCAGCAGCATGAGGGAGCTACCACGCCCAGAACCATCATATCTTCTAGAGAATTTGCTAAAAGTTGTAAAGCTGGAAAAAATTCGATCCAGCATAGGCAGGTTGGCTTTAATGGGGAGATGATAGCCAATCCTTTAAAATGAAGAAGGACACTCCAGGGAGGCCACATATCATGTATATTTTCCAGGAATCCTGAGAGCATGGGGTGGGAGTCGTATAAGTAGATGCACAGGTTAAGTCTCAGAATCAAGGGCAGGGGAAAAGATGAGAATAGAGAGAGAAACTGA